AATTAATAATGTTAATTAAAATTAAGGAAAACAAATATATTGATCTGAAATATAGCTAATTAATTTTAAATTAATTCAGGTACAATTACCAAACATATCGCAAGGTCTTTTTGTCTTTTCATTAATTTAATTAATAAACTAATTATATAAAACTATTGTCAGTGCACTACAAATAAACTGGTTCTATGCCTTTATATAATAAAACTTATTTAAAAAATACAATGCCTTCTGCATTTTTGTTTTGCTTTTACCTCCATTGTACCGAAATCGTACCGAACCGTGATGTCTGAACCGAGGTATGAACCGAACCGTGACTTCTGTGTACCGTTCCACCCCTATGATGAATATATTTACCAATATAATATCGAGACAATAATATAAATTTTTCACAGTATAAATTGGGTCTTGACACACACAGTATGTCTTTTAAATTTGGGGGTCCGTCGCACGAGGATGATCATGTTTGGCATCTAAAATATTGAAAACTCCTGGGTCAAACTGTTTGCAACATCCATAAACTATCATTTAAAAAATAGATTTGTTATTAAATAAATTTCTATTTCTGATTAACAAAGAAGGAAAGGACTTTTCTTAGATTGTCTTTATTTGCAATTATAAAAAAAAGCACCATGGTGTTTCAATGTTTTTTTTTTTTTTGTCATACAATGTTAAAGCCATTTTTAGACTCTGATGGTAATAATGTAAAAACAATGATATATAAATATGGTAACCACACAGTACTGTGGTATATATTAAAGTAAACATAGTATTACCATGCATTTTTAGTAAAGTGGTGTGACATTTCTGAATTAAATTGTTCTGGAAGAACATCATCAATGATGACAAAAATAAAGCAGGTTCAAACAGTAAACAGAGAGACACAGAAATAGATGACAATGAAATCAAGAGAGAAATAGTTTAGTTTAGAAAGGGAAGCTGAATGAGAATCCAACATCTACCTGATGATGATGAGGTCAGATTTACACACAGACCAGCATGAAGAGCCACTTACAGTCTGACGGCTTCATCTCTTATCAAACACACTCAGCATCTGTTGCCCGACGGCTTCATCTCTTATCAAACACACTCAGCATCTGTTGCCATGGAGTCCTGCAAGACCAATCAGCATCTCTCAACTTCCCTTCTCTCTCTGTCTCTCTTTCATGTCGTGCCCTTCACCAGCATGAAGCATGTGCAGCTCGCCTCTCTGTCTGTACATCAATTATGAAACAGACAGCAGGACAGAAGCTCTGACCAACACAGTGAACTCACTCAAAATCCACATGATTACCGACTGACATCCACATGATCTCAGTCAAGGAACAGATTAAAGAGAAAATTAAAAACAGTCACTGCCCACTATTTTCTTTTACATGTATTATTTTTTATATAATAACATTACACTCATTAGTTTTTTTTTTATATATATGTACTATTTTAATCTTCCTTGCATTGACAATCTTCATTCATCTATACCTGCTAGGGAGAGACTTACAATTACCGGCTAAGTGGTGACTCTCTTGGCTTACCTGATTCATTCCTTGTGTTTGCACGTTTCAATAAAGAACTTTTGAATCTGCTGTCTCCTCTTCTGATAGTGACAGACGACCAGAACCAAATAAAAATGGACTCAGCTGGAGTTTAACTTGAACCTGAGTCTTTCCTCAGCACAATGTAGCAAAATGGCAGGGAGATAGATGATTATGTGGAGGAATTCCTGAAGTACTGTTACCTGAGGGTGTGGGATGATCGTATACTTATCAACTGCTTCCAAGATGGATTAGATGACAATGTCTGCATGCAAACTGATGCGAGCGAAAAACTGATGTGTGACACAATTATTGGACCTCGTACTGTGGTGCATCATATACAGTTGAATCTTTGGTTTCATCATTTTGAGACTACAGTGTGCTCCCTTGTCTCCACCCGTCCAGTCTCCAGCCGCTATGGCCGCCTCGAAGAGTATCCCACTATTCCCCAATCCAGGAAAGCAACATCTCCAGCCTTTCCCCGGGCATGGAAGGCTGTGTCCAACAGTGCGGATCCTCCCCTCATGTCCGTTAGGGTGGCCCTGAGAAATTACTCCACTCTTCAGGTGCCACGTCCAGAGTCCGTTCCAGAAAAAGAGATTCAAGAGTCCGTTCCATAAAAAGAAATCCCAAATTCCGTTCAAGAGAAGGAAAATCCAGAATCTTCCACATCCTCCAGACTCGAGCCTCGGTATTGACTGCCCATATGCCTTCTCAGAGGCATCACTGAAAACGTGAATCTCCCGGCGACGGCGTACATCTGATTTATCCATATAGGAGGCGTTATAGCACCAAGGGACTGTTACCTGTGATAGAAATTTAAGCTCCCCTTTCCAGTCTGTCCAAGCTCACCTGGGAGTTGTGGATCATTCCAGTCCCAGTGTGGATCATTCCAGCTCAACTAAAGCAACCTTATTTGTGGCCTTATTTCAGAAACTTTAATTTTTAGTTTTTTCAATAACCATGCATAAACAATATTCTCTCAAAAATACAAACATGTACATACATGTTGCTCACATATTATGGTAGCCCTGTTTGTGCTAAATAGAGTGTAATTTCACCTGTGCCAGTAATGTTTATAAGCAACTGAAAAAAGCACAAATGTCAGGGCACCGGAGTCAGCCCCTGAGTCCGCTCCGGTGTTGGCTCCATTCCCTGAGTCCGCTCCAGCCCCTGAGTCCGCTCCGGTGTTGGCTCCAGCCCCTGAGTCCGCTCCAGCCCCTGAGTCCGCTCCGGTGTTGGCTCCAGCCCCTGAGTTCGCTCCGGTGTCGGCTCCTGCCCCTGAGTCCGCTCCGGTGTTGGCTCCAGCCCCTGAGTCCGCTCCAGCCCCTGAGTTCGCTCCGGTGTTGGCTCCAGCCCCTGAGTCCGCTCTGGTGTTGGCTCCAGCCCCTGAGTCCGCTCTGGTGTTGGCTCCAGCCCCTAAATCCGCTCTGGTGTTGGCTCCAGCCCCTGAGTCCGCTCCAGACCCTGAGTCCGCTCCGGTGTCGGCTCCTGCCCCTGAGTCCGCTCCGGTGTCGGCTCCTGCCCCTGAGTCCGCTCCAGCCCGAGTCCGCTCCGGTGTCGGCTCCAGCCCCTGAGTCCGCTCCAGCCCCTGAGTCCTCTCCGGTGTTGGCTCCAGCCCCTGAGTCTGCTCCGGTGTCGGCTCCAGCCCCTGAGTCCGCTCCGGTGTTGGCTCCAGCCCCTGAGTCTGCTCCGGTGTTGGCTCCAGCCCCTGAGTCCGCTCCGGTGTTGGCTCCAGCCCCTGAGTCTGCTCTGGTGTCGGCTCCAGCACCCGAGTCCGCTCCGGTGTTGGCTCCAGCCCCTGAGTCCACTCCAGCCCCTGAATCCGCTCCGGTATCGGCTCCAGCACCCGAGTCCGCTCCGGTGTTGGCTCCAGTCACAGTTCCCTCGTTACAGCTTTGCTGGTCGCCCTTGAACTCTCTGTTGGTCTTATTGTCTCATTAGGTCTGCCGAAATCGACACTCCAGACGTCAGCAAGTCAGTCTAGCCGGCACTCCAGACGTTCTCAAGCCAGCCAATCCTCCAGAAGACCGGGTGTACTTCAATTTCCGTGTCTGCACAGCTTTCAAAATACTCAACCACAGATGAGCATAACTATTGTTATGACTCTTCTGTCTCTTCTGTCTTTGCTTATGCGCTGTTGTACGCGCACAGTCTGCCTAAACCCCGTAACTCAAGCGTATCCTAAAACTGTTGCCAAAACCTCACACAGTAGCTCCACTTGTAAATTAATCCAACATGCATTTTTGGAGACAGTCTGCAGTGCAAGGGTAAATAAATATAATATTATAATAATACAATATAAATAAGTACAGCGTTTTATTTATTGAAAACACAATGTGTGTAAAGGCTAATGTTTTATGTATTTGTGTGGCAGAGAAGACTGTCTTAGTTTGCCTAATTGCTGTCTAGTCATAGACAACACAGCCTGTGCGTAACACTTTGTCTTCACACAATCTTTTTGCCAAATATATTAAAAGACAGTAAAACAGAGTGCCCACATAGCTACAATAACCTTTGTAACCTGTAAGAACTTAATGTGAAGCAGTTGCGGCCTCTAATGACGGACAAAACACACATCTCTGACATCCGCTGCATGGTGAAAAACCTCCATTTGAGCTTGATTTTTGGTCAGTGAAAAAAGGTAATATCATGACAACCCACAAGTGTCTAATAATACATAAAGCCACAATACTAACTTTGCAAAGTTAAAAACTATATGACATTCTATCTAAATTATATCCTATTTATATTATTTTATTTATGAATCTATCTAAAATGTATATAATTTCTGAATTGAAATGATTAAAATGATCTAGCTGAATAAATGTTTATAATATAATATAATTATTAAGTTTATAATAATATAATGTGTGTGTTTGTGTGTGTGAGAGAGAGAGAGAGAGAGAGAGAGAGAGAGAGAGAGAGAGAGAGAGAGAGAGAGAGAGAGAGAGAGAGAGAGAGAGAGAGAGAGAGAGAGAGAGAGAGAGAGAATTAAAAAATATATACTACAGGACAAACTGAAATTCCATGAAATTAAATCTGAATGTCCAATAGGATTCTAAGATCTAAATACAGTAAGATCCAATAGAACATTCCAAGGATTTTTTGACAAGGGTGACAACAAGGTTTAATCATTTAAAATAAAAAAATCCGAATGGTAGCTACTAACCTCCAATTTTCACTGGTTTCAAAACACCACGCTGGATATGAACTGCCATGGTAACATATCCTCGGATAAACTCCTGCGATCCAACAGCTAATGCCAACACACATGCTCATTCATTTCATTTCAATGTAACATTTGCATAGACCACTACTATGAATTCATGATTGATTGACTACTGAATTAAAATCCTAAACGGAATGATCATTAACCGCGTAAGGATAATTTCAAATAAGCGAATAATCAACATTACACTCATTAGATTAGAGTTGCAGGTTAATCGCATGCACATATCATCCTGTAGTTGGTCGTGGTTGCTGCAGTTCGTCTCCGCGCCGCGGGGTTTCGCTGTGACGCATCCACTCCTCCACGTGAGCGGAAGTGCGTCAGTGGTCCGTGTGACCAGAGGACTGTAGAGCTCACGGTAAGAGTTTTTATTTTATAACATTATAAAATTTCCAAAATTTTATGTCTCATAACTATCATAAACACATAACACAACATTGAAGCTGAAATAATCCGATTTGGCGCGTTACATACGCGTTCATAAACTCACTAGATTTTGTATAACACACACACACGTAACAGATCAGAAACTCAAAGTCACATGGAGGTTAAAAACACACAGATTTACACAACCGCAGTTAAAACATGAAAACCAAACAGACGCAAATATACGCGCACAGAAAGAGCGATGGATATATAAAGGCTCAGTGTCTGTCAGACTGTCAACAATGTGTCTGAAACATTCATAACAACACTCACACGAGGTTACATTGAATTTATACTTGCTTCTAATTTCTACATTATATTTGTCCAAAACACGCTAAATTGGTAGTATGTATGAAAGGAAATCGTTTTGGTTCAATGTTTAGTGCTTCTCTCTTTGTGTGTGTGTGTGTGTGTGTGTTTTGCGCAATTATAATATGACATATTATACAAATATTAGCCTATAATATAACATTATACACTATAAAATGTGTAGGCTAGGCCTATATATACACAATACCTGTCAAAAGTTTGGAAATATTTGTTTTTAATGTTTTTGAAAGAAGTCTCTGCTGCTCTCCATGGCTGCATTTATTTGATGAAAATCTTATGAAATATTTTAATATAAAATTATTTTAATTTAATATTAATATCATATTGTGAAATATTATTACTATTTAAAATAAGTTTTTTATGTTAATGTATGTTCAAATGTAATTTATTCCTGCGATCAAAGCTGTGTTTTCAGCATTACTCCAGTCTTCAGTGTCACATGATCCTTCAGAAATCACTCTAATATGATGATCTTCTGCTCAAGAAACATTTATGATTATTACCAGAAGCAATTGTGCTTTAATATTTATGCAGAAATGCTGATGCTTTTTTTTTAGGATTCTTTCATGAATAGAGAGTTAAAAAGAACAGCATTTATTTGCATTTACAATATTTTTTTAATTACATTTATTTAATTATTTGTAACATTATAAATGTCATCACTGTCACTATTGATCATTATAATGCGTCCTTGATGAATACAAGTATTAATTTCTCACAATTCTACCACAAATGTTTGAATGGTATCACAATTTCCATAAAAAAATTAACCAGCACAACTGTTTTCAACACTAATAATGAATCATAAATGTTTCTTGAGCATCAAATCATCATATTAGAGTGATTTCTGAAAGATCATGTGACACTGAAGACTGGAGTAATGATGCTGAAAATTCAGCTTTGATCACAGGAATAAACTATATTCACACAGAAAACAGTTATTGTAAAGTGATATGTTGAATGTGTGCTCCGGTGTTGTCAGATGGCGTTCAGGCTCCTGGTGCGGAGAGTGTGTGGAGCGTCTGTGCGAGATCTCCAGCGTCTGCCGGCCAGCGTGTCGTCGTTCTCCTCGTGTCTGACCCCGTCTCCTGCGCTCTTCTCCCGCTCGCTCCCGCCTCTCCCGCTTCTCTCCTCCCGCAGGAGTGTGTCGTTCAGCGTGCAGGACCACGACGACTTCACCGAGAGGGTCATCAACAGCCAGCTGCCCGTCCTCGTAGACTTCCACGCACAGTACGTACACACACACACACACACACACACACACACACACACACACACAGACACACTCTGATGGAGAGAGATAATCTGATTCAGGGACTGCACACGTAAAGGAGTCTATGAGTTATGAGGAGGAGTGAGTTATGAGGAGGAGTGAGTTATGAGGAGGAGTGAGTTATGAGGAGGAGTGAGTTATGAGGAGGAGGAGTGAGTTATGAGGAGGAGGAGTGAGTTATGAGGAGGAGTTATGAGGAGGAGGAGTGAGTTATGAGGAGGAGTTATGAGGAGGAGGAGTGAGTTATGAGGAGGAGGAGTGAGTTATGAGGAGGAGTTATGAGGAGGAGGAGTGAGTTATGAGGAGGAGTTAGGAGGAGGAGTGAGTTATGAGGAGGAGTTATGAGGAGGAGGAGTGAGTTAGGAGGAGGAGGAGTGAGTTATGAGGAGGAGTTATGAGGAGGAGGAGTTATGAGTTATGAGGAGGAGGAGTTATGAGTTATGAGGAGGAGGAGTTATGAGTTATGAGGAGGAGGAGTTATGAGTTATGAGGAGGAGGAGTGAGTTATGAGGAGGAGGAGTGAGTTATGAGGAGGAGGAGTGAGTTATGAGGAGGAGTTATGAGGAGGAGGAGTGAGTTAGGAGGAGGAGGAGTGAGTTATGAGGAGGAGTTAGGAGGAGGAGTTATGAGGAGGAGGAGGAGTGAGTTATGAGGAGGAGTTAGGAGGAGGAGGAGTGAGTTATGAGGAGGAGTTATGAGGAGGAGGAGTGAGTTATGAGGAGGAGTTAGGAGGAGGAGTTATGAGGAGGAGGAGGAGTGAGTTATGAGGAGGAGTTAGGAGGAGGAGGAGTGAGTTATGAGGAGGAGTTATGAGGAGGAGGAGTGAGTTAGGAGGAGGAGGAGTGAGTTATGAGGAGGAGTTAGGAGGAGGAGTTATGAGGAGGAGGAGGAGTGAGTTAGGAGGAGGAGGGAGGAGGAGGGTGAGTTATGAGGAGGAGGAGGAGTTAGGAGGAGTTATGAGGAGGAGGAGTTATTGGGAGTTATATGGAGTTATGAGGAGTTATATGGAGTTATGAGGAGTTATATGGATTTATTTGGAGTTATATGGAGTTATGAGGAGTTATATGGAGTTATGAGGAGTTATATGGATTTATTTGGAGTTATATGGAGTTATGAGGAGTTATATGGAGTTATGAGGAGGAGTTATGAGGAGGAGTTATATGGAGTTATGAGGAGTTATATGGATTTATTTGGAGTTATATGGAGTTATGAGGAGTTATATGGAGTTATGAGGAGTTATATGGATTTATTTGGAGTTATATGGAGTTATGAGGAGTTATATGGATTTATTTGGAGTTATATGGAGTTATGAGGAGTTATATGGAGTTATGAGGAGGAGTTATGAGGAGGAGTTATGAGGAGGAGTTATATGGAGTTATGAGGAGTTATATGGAGTTATGAGGAGGAGTTATATGGAGTTATGAGGAGTTATATGGAGTTATGAGGAGGAGTTATGAGGAGGAGTTATGAGGAGGAGTTATGAGGAGGAGTTATATGGAGTTATGAGGAGTTATATGGAGTTATGAGGAGGAGTTATGAGGAGGAGTTATGAGGAGGAGTTATGAGGAGGAGTTATGAGGAGGAGTTATGAGGAGGAGTTATATGGAGTTATGAGGAGTTATATGGAGTTATGAGGAGGAGTTATATGGAGTTATGAGGAGTTATATGGAGTTATGAGGAGGAGTTATGAGGAGGAGTTATGAGGAGGAGTTATATGGAGTTATATGGAGTTATGAGGAGTTATATGGATTTATTTGGAGTTATATGGAGTTATGAGGAGTTATATGGATTTATTTGGAGTTATATGGAGTTATGAGGAGTTATGAGGAGGAGTTATGAGGAGGAGTTATATGGAGTTATGAGGAGTTATATGGATTTATTTGGAGTTATATGGAGTTATGAGGAGTTATATGGATTTATTTGGAGTTATATGGAGTTATGAGGAGTTATATGGAGTTATGAGGAGGAGTTATGAGGAGGAGTTATGAGGAGGATTTATATGGAGTTATGAGGAGTTATATGGAGTTATGAGGAGTTATATGGATTTATTTGGAGTTATATGGAGTTATGAGGAGTTATATGGATTTATTTGGAGTTATATGGAGTTATGAGGAGTTATATGGATTTATTTGGAGTTATATGGAGTTATGAGGAGTTATATGGAGTTATGAGGAGGAGTTATGAGGAGGAGTTATGAGGAGGAGTTATATGGAGTTATGAGGAGTTATATGGAGTTATGAGGAGTTATATGGATTTATTTGGAGTTATATGGAGTTATGAGGAGTTATATGGATTTATTTGGAGTTATATGGATTTATTTGGAGTTATATGGAGTTATATGGAGTTATGAGGAGTTATATGGATTTATTTGGAGTTATATGGAGTTATGAGGAGTTATATGGAGTTATGAGGAGGAGTTATGAGGAGCAGTCATGAGGAGGAGTTATATGGAGTTATGACAACACAGGTTTGTGTTCATTCAGAGATCATGTCAGCTGATCTCAGGTCAGTTTCTGCGAGCCTCAGTCTGATGATAGTTCTCGGTAGGGATGTCCCGATCCGATCACACGATTGGAAATCGGGCCCGATCACATGGTTTCAGACTCGATCGGAATCGGACGTTACCTCCCGATCAGGACTCGGATATATGTAAATTAGGGGTGTAACGGTACATGTATTCGTAATTATTGAACCGTTTCGGTACGAGTATTCCAGTTCGGTCCGCATACAAACTGAACGATTCCTAGGACCATTTTTCCTGCAGACAAAATCCGCGCTGGCGCGATCACCACAACGTTGAGCAACATCAAATGGCAAACGTAATGAAAGCGGAACGAAACTGCGCTACTCATCATATTGTGCTTCACGGACCGTTTATCAGTTCGGACCAGCAACATCTGTGCAGCGCGAGATCAAGCGACACTGTGCTAAGAGATCCAGTGAAGAAAACATTTGAATTCGCCACTGAAGTAATAACATTGCTGCGAGATCTAGTGAGAAGCATTCAAATTTCTCCGTTATTAACCGTAGATCTCTATTAGATCAAACAGCGCTGACGTGGACACCAGGAGAAACATTGTGCCGTGAATGAATATTTACTGTTGCCAGTGTTGGGGAAGCTACTTTGAAACTGTAGTTTGACAAGCTACAAGCTACTCGTTAGTTAAAGTAGTTAAACTACAGTCAAGCTACCCTTTTGGAAAAGTAGTTAGCTACACTACAAGTTACGATCAAAAAGTAGCTAGCTACATTGAAACTACTTTTGCTTTTTTTGAACAACATATATTATAAATAACTGAATAAGTGTCTGAGAAATGTTTTAAGTAAAATATTTAGTATTTAAAACAATGCAATACAATTATGATTTTTATTGTTTTATTACACACAACACTCAAATATCTCAGACTGTTTGTCAAAAGTGCAAAATTGTAACAAATACAACATTGCAAGAACAAAATATACATCCAACGTAAATTGCACGTATAGACTTTTTCTCAAAAATACCGATTGTGACTGTGAGATGGTTGCATTTTACATTGCAAAATACATTGAACAACCGCTCACATGTGGCTCTGACAATGCACGTTAAACTCGCTCACATGCAGTGATGGAGCTCGCAGAATTTACTGTGAAAGAAGAACCTGAATCACAAGCTGCTTGTGAGCACAGTTCGGTTCGCTCCGGATCCAGTCACAACACATCTATACACCAATTTAATTAGATCAAAGCCTTTGTCGTGCGATAAACAAACTAAGATTACATTTTTGTTCAACTGAAACACGATGGCGCAAACTTTAGTTTAGTGGTCTTTTATGTTCATTACCAAACGCGGACAGATCATGGGGGTTCATTGTAATTAAATCAGAAATAGAAGTTTGATGTAACATAGAGAGCAATAAAGCAGGATAATTAATACATTTTAAAATGGCCATTAATCACCTGTATGTGCGTCCTTAAATTTGTGCTTGAGGTCTTCTGTACGTCAGTGAACCGTTAGCCGCAAGATGCGTGAATAAACAACAGGTGGCGGTAATGGCAAAACAAATTAGTTTGTAATCTAACAAGAAGAAGAATATCCTTGCATCGCGCTGATTCGCGCAGGCTCAACAAAACACAATGTAGCTTTTGCTCACGCTACACCGCTACTTGCTGCAAAAAGTAGTTAGCTACTGGAAAAGCTACACTGTTTAAAAAGCAACTGAGCTACTGCCAAGCTACTGAAAAATGTAGTTAAGTTAGTAGCGTCGCTACTTGTAGTTAACTACTCCCCAACACTGACTGTTGCACTAAAGTCCAAAAGTGAAGATTTTATGTTATTTATTACTTGATTGTTCAAGCTACCTCACAGAAGTGCTGAATGTTAAAATAAGGTGAATTAAATAAAAATCTGTTTTTTCTCTCTTCTTTATTCTTTTTTTATGTATTATATAAGTATCGGATCGGGACTCTGTATCGGTATCGGTAGATACTCAAAATCAAATGACTCGGACTCGAGGGCAAAAAAACCTGATCGGGACATCCCTAGTTCTCGCAGTTGTAGATATAAAGTGTGTGTGGTAGGAAGCGTCAGATAATCTGACTGCTTGTGTGTGTGTGTTTAGGTGGTGCGGCCCCTGTAAAATCCTCGGCCCTCGGCTGGAGAAGGCCATCGCCAAACAGGAGGGCCGAGTCGCCATGGCCAAAGTGGACATCGATGAACACACAGACCTCGCCATCGAGTACGGGGTACGACACGCGGTTATTAACACACATTAAAAACACATTCGTGAAAGCTGAGATAAAATAAAATAAATATAGGTTAGAAAAACTTAAACTGAACTAAATGTTGCCTTGGTGACTTACTGAAAGAAGTTTAACATGAATTTTTTTGTTGTGTTTTTTCACTTGTTTTATTTATTTATTATTAATATTTAAAAAAATTATAATAAAAATGACCAAAGCACAAAACAATTTACAACAAATGACTTTTATGCTAAAATTAAAAATAAAAGTGAATTAAAAAACATTATGTATACTCTTAGTGTATTAATATTACTGTTTCCAAAATTTCACTCCTTAGATTATTTACTGTTTTTATTTCCACTCATTAGATGTTTTTGCTGTTTTATTTTATATTTTATTTCCACTCATTAGATTTTTTACTGTTTTATTTTATTTCCACTCATTAGATTTTTTACTGTTTTATTTTATATTTTATTTCCACTCATTAGATTTTTTACTGTTTTATTTTATATTTTATTTCCACTCATTAGATTTTTTACTGTTTTATTTTATATTTTATTTCCACTCATTAGATTTTTTACTGTTTTATTTTATATTTTATATCCACTCAGTATATTTTTTACTGTTTTATTTATATTTTATTTACACTCATTAGATTTTTTACTGTTTTATTTTATATTTTATTTCCACTCATTAGATTTTTTACTGTTTTATTTTATATTTTATTTCCACTCATTAGATTTTTTACTGTTTTATTTTATATTTTATTTCCACTCATTAGATTTTTTACTGGTTTATTTTATATTTTATTCATTAGATTTTTTACTGGTTTATTTTATATTTTATATCCACTCAGTAGATTTTTTACTGGTTTATTTTATATTTTATTCATTAGATTTTTTACTGGTTTATTTTATATTTTATATCCACTCAGTAGATTTTTTACTGGTTTATTTTATATTTTATTTCCACTCATTAGATTTTTTTACTGTTTTATTTTATTTCCACTCATTAGATATTTTACTGTTTTATTTTATATTTTATTTCCACTCATTAGATTTTTTACTGTTTTATTTTATATTTTATTTCCACTCATTAGATTTTTTACTGGTTTATTTTATATTTTATATCCACTCAGTAGATTTTTTACTGGTTTATTTTATATTTTATTTCCACTCATTAGATTTTTTTACTGTTTTATTTTATTTCCACTCATTAGATATTTTACTGTTTTATTTTATATTTTATTTCCACTCATTAGATTTTTTACTGTTTTATTTTATATTTTATTTCCACTCATTAGATTTTTTTACTGTTTTATTTTATTCTATTTTATTTTACAACATTACACTCATTAGATCTTTTACCGTTTTATTTTATTCTATCTTATTTACAACATTACACTCACTAGATTATATTCTATTATATTCCCGGGACTACAGTCAGTTGAATTGCAGGTGTTTCACATATAGTGCATATATCATATATACAGCATATACAGTTTTTTATTTATTTATTTAGATATGAATATCCTTGTATATTAATATTACTAATAATAACACTAGCATGAGACTGGCAGCTCAGAAAAAAACACACACTTTCATTACTAACATTACAAACAAAATGATGCATGTAAGTATTTTCATTCAGCTAGTGCCAAGGCAGTGTAACTCTAGTTCAAGTTAAACCAACTACAACTGATCCCCAAATACATAATAAAAACATAGACAAATGACAAAATCACACAACCAAATTGACTAAAACTTGAAGTAAAATAAAAATGAAATCAGAAAATCTAAATATGAATATAAATTATAAATCAATGTCTCAATGATACAAAAATAAGTGTTTCTCAGAGACCACAGAAATAAAATCTAAATAGATTAATTGTTTTTTCACATGATAATCTTCTCTTATAGAAATACACTACCGTGTTTTTCCAGATGTCTTTTATAATATCTCTGGCATATTTGATTCTGATTGGTCAATCACGGCAGTCAGATGTTTCTGATTCTTGACTCGTACGCCAAACAAAAAGGAAAAATAAATGTATCTCAACAGCACACGGGAATGATTCCTCGATTATTATGGGATGCTGATTGTTCCTGATGTGCTGTGTAGGTGTCGGCCGTTCCCACGGTGATCGCCATGCGGGGCGGTGATGTCATCGACCAGTTTGTGGGCATCAAAGATGAGGACCAGCTGGATTCCTTTGTGAAGAAGCTGATTGGACAGTGAAGCTGTCAATCACGCTCCTCTAGCCCCGCCCACCTCCCTCTGGAGACGCCATTACATCTGATCACGAACACGGACAACTGCTGCAACCTGGACCATCTTCGCTTCACCATCTCTCCTGCTTTCATTAACTGTGTCTGTGTCGTCATGTGCTTTTACCGTGTTCACCGCGGTACAAGTGTAGTAAAGTGTTGTCGGAGAACTGATCGACTCATCCGGGCCACACGAGGGCGACCTTCCAGCGTTTCACACCTGAAGGCTTACTAATGTGAAAGTGTGTGATGATTACAGACGTGTGTGTGTGTCTCTGTTTGCTTTTCTTTCTTTTTTGGGGGGATATGACTGTGAATTTTGTGCAGAATGCATGGGATTGATGATGGTTTTGTTTAGACTTTAACTCAAATAAACTGTAATATAACCAACTAGTCAATTGAAATTATGAATAAAGCAACTGTACAATATTTAACTCGGACTGATGGCTGGTGTTAAATATATATATATATATATAACATAGATGACACACAATCTCATCTCAGCACTTTCGATGAATGGCAACACTATTTTTTTATTTGGTGATTTCATCTGAATATCAACATTTAGTCTGTCTAAACAGTTTGAAGGTTAATTTATCTAATTTTGTGTCTCTGGAAAATATAGTGATCTATGACATTATAATATGTTGAATATCTAAGTTGTATGTGTCTGTTAATGAGGGATTTGTGGACACATTAATGTTTTAAGATTTGTGGAGTAAACGTTGTTATTTTGAAGTGAAAAGATCAAATTAGAGGTGTGGGGTAAGATGTGCCACACAGAAGGGCCCAAACGGCATCTTGTTACTAGTGTTATTATTTTAAAATTGAATACTCATTGCAATTAATGGGGTTATTGTTTAATATTTTTATGAACTAGATGTACATTTCAGACATCTTCACTTTCATTAAAACCTTTAGGCTAGTTCATTAGATTTGCATAGTGTTGCTATTATTACATATCTACAATTAAAATATGGGCAATTAAATATGTATATATCCATGTGCCTGTACATATGTCATAAAATATTTTTACCTTTCAGATTAATATCTTTTACTAGGATTCAGATTTGTCAGATTCATCGGTTATTATTAAATCATTATCAACTAAATTGACAAAATACAGATGATTTAGCATTTACATTAATTACACTTTTAGAAAATATATAAATATTAATAAGAATTCTATCAGAAGTAATTTATACATTCTGTAAAACTTTAGCCCTGGGGCTTCTCACCCTTTTGTGCTATAATAACTACTAAATTAGCAAATGTTTCAAATAATTTCCTATAATAACACATTAGCACACATGCTAAACTGGTATCTAAATATGTTACTGTTTAAAAGTAAATCCACATTGATCTGAAGGTGGCATCTTCCCGTGTGTGTGTGTGTGTGTGTGTGAGAGAGAGATAATGGTCTTGTTTTAGTTCAGCCCGAGGCTCTTTTTAGCTGAAGGATTCATAACCCAAATACATGTGGCCTGTGGGGTTAATTCATATACCCGTCTGTCATCTGAAGCCAAACGCCATGTTCTCTAACAGCAGAGCAGTGATGATGCAAGTCAACAGGTGTGTTTAACTCATAACGGTCTGCAGCAGCTGCCCTTACATCATCATCAACAACTGGAGCGTTTTCATGACTCAAACTCCATCCAGACCCACATTTTGGTCTTCTAGGGCTCTTAAAAGTGACTTATATTTCATGCTAAGGCAGCTCTCTCTCTCATGACGTCACGGTGTCCGTCTTCCTCGAACATCTGCGCTGCGGTTCTTCGATCTCGCCGCATGACGTCATCCAGCAGAACTCCAGCCCACCAATGACAGCCTGCCATTACCTGACCGCACATGACATCATCACCTCACATCATCAGCCACGCCACGAGCACTTCCTCTCCAAAGAGCTCAGTGTTATTTTAGTAGCCTATCATTGAGATGCTGTTATAGATTTTAATTAGTTGCTATAATATATATATATATTTAGTTTTATAGATATTTTAGTTAACAATGCTCGCGCGTAAAAAAATTCTAATTCAATAATTCATAAATTCTTGTTTTTATCTTTAGATTTTGAGGTGAAACAATTTATACATCATTAGGTCTCCATGAGCTTAGAGGAGCAATCTTCTGATCAACGCTTTTGTGTAGAAAGTGCTGGATAAAGTCTCTGAACTCCACATCTACAGTAGCCTATCCTGGATGACTGTGAAGTGATTCATATTTTAATTAGTTGCTATAATTAATATGTTTTTGATATATCTCTTTAAATATTTTTTTTATTTTAGTTGTGTATTTTAGTTAACGACACTCGCGCCTAATTAGCCTACAAAAAAAAGATCAAAACTAGTCACACATATGCGACTTATTTATTGTTTTTATCTTTTTATTTTGAGGTGAAACAATGAATACATCATTAAGGTTAGAAGAGCTGATTAACCCGACGCTTTAGTGTAGAAAGTGCTGGATAAAGCCACAGATCAGTATCTGGACGATTGTGAAGAGATGAGGTGCTGGGAGGCGCGCGTTGTTCGCGTTACTGAGACGCGTTGTCCGCGAGCGTCAAACAACAGGGCAGAAGTGTGAACTATTCCGTCATTCAACCACAAAGAATGACGGAATAGAGTGAGAAACTCAATAACTCTTCCGCTCTGAAACAATAGACCACACCTCCACCTCTCTCTCTCTCTCTCTCCACCTCTCTCTCTCTCTCTCTCTCTCTCTCTCTCTCTCTCTCTCTCTCTCTCTCTCTCTCTCTCTCTCTCTCTCTCTCTGTGACCATATAAGGCAAAAACACAGAGCATGAACAGAATTCCTCCGCGCTCTCGTTTCTTTCACACTCCGTCACTTTTCCCTTTCTCACGTATAATTATTTTTTCTCTCTCTCAGGCTATTTGGCTTGAAAGGAGAAGTGTGCTTATTCACGTTGTTCTTGCTATGCTACATACCTCAGATGCTAGTGATAACGTGTGTGTGTGTGTGTGTGTGTTTTGCTGAAAACAACGTTCAGCACTCAAGCCCGTCCCATTTGAGATTAATATTATATTTTGGCAGGCACTCAAGCCCGTCCCATTTGAGCTTAATATTATATTTTGGCAAGTAGTACTCAACACTTGGACAACTTTACGACAGTTCTTCTCATACTCGTGTGAAGCTGACCAGTCTGTAAGTGTGCACAGGAGAGACTGAGGAGAAGTAATGAACAACCGCCAATGATTGCTGCAGTGACGTGGACAATAGGATTTATCCCATTGGATCATTGCAGAAAATAAAATCTGGGACCAACAAGTTTATGATTCTTGTTTTTTTATTATTTAAAAACTGTCAAATCGATTAATAGCGATGAACATAAATCGCATATAACATAGAAGTTTGTGTGTGTGTGTATATATATATATATAGATAAATACAAAATATCATAAGATCTTTCTCAATATTGATGACAAAAATATATATAAATGATCTATAAATAAAGTAAATAATGTTAGCTGAGCGAAGTGTGTGTGTGTGTGTGAATGTGTGTCTGTCTGTGTGTGTGTGTGTGCGATGTGTGTGTGTGAGTGAGTGAGTGTGAGTGTAAATTTACGGTAAAAAAGCCAGAAATCTACCATAAAAAAATAAGTTAGCAACATTTTAGGTTTTACAGACTTATTTACAGTAAACATTTTTTATCTGATATAATGTTATTTTAGCGACCTAGTGCAGTATTTATATCTGTTTTGTACCATTGAAATACACTGACAACCATTAAACATTAATTTAACAACAAGAAAAACTATGAAGAAACAGTAATTTCAACAAAAATACATGAAATGTGAAGTGTCATGCAGGGAATCGTCGGAATGTCAATTTACAGGTTTCTCTGTAAATTATACAATGACTTGTTCTTTTTCTCTTCCAAAAACTGTACATGTAACGGTAAAATCACAGTTATTCACCGTATATACAGTACATAAACTTTCTGTTAACCAAATTAACAGTTTTTCACAGTAGCATTTTTACCGTCTTTTACCAGTAAAATCACAATCATTTTTACAGTGTGTGTGTGAGTAAGTGTGTCTGTGTGTGCTAGTGAGTGTGTGTATGTATGAGTGTGTGTGTGAGTAAGTGTGTCTGTGTGTGCTAGTGAGAGTGTGTGTATGTGTGAGTGTGTGTGTGCAAAACACTAAATTCCTCTCTGTGTTTACAGAAAATATATTGTTTGCATATGCATTATTTGTCATTTAAACACTCCTTACATCTGATACTCGCTCGACCGCACACTGTTCTCTCTTCGCTGTGTGTGATGTGTGATTTCACTGTGAGGGAGGCGGCAAGGGCCAAATTTCACAAGAAAGGGAACCTCTCAAAAACATTCCCGATGCGAGTGAGTCAACAAGCGTCCGGTCGACCGGTACTTCCTGCGCTCTGATTGGAGGAGAGCGGGCGGGAGGACACACACACACACACACACACACACACACACACACACACACACACACACACAGATCAGGATGCGTCGGCCTGCTCTTGCTCTTCTTCTGTTGATGCTGCTGTTTTTAATTATTCTGAGGTTTTCTTTGGAGCCACTTAAGGACAAACACAGAAACACACACACAGAAACACACACACACAGAGAAAGGAACATGGGAGCGGCGTACACACAGCTCTGCCACACAAATAGCTCGCGTTACAACAGACATTAAAACTCGTCTCTCAGAAATAAAGAAAAGCACAAAGGTTGCAAACACACTGCAGACGTTGCATGAATGCATTCACAGGGAAACACACCCAGCGGCCGGGACACACCCAGACAGGGCGGCACACACACATCTGCAGGAGAGAGAGAGAGAGAGAGAGAGAGAGAGAGAGAGAGAGAGAGAGAGAGAGAGGTCAGAAGTGACCTTATTTGGTAATCTGTCTCTCTCTCTCTGTCTGTCTCTCTGCATCTGGTATCGCTCAGCGTGTGTGTGTGTGTGTGTGAGAGACTGTGTGTGTGACTGTGTGTGTGTGTGTGTGTGTGTGTGTGTGTGTGTAAGTGTGTGTGTGAGTCGAGTGTGTGTGTGTGTGTGTGTGTGTGTGTGTGTGAGTGTGTGTGTGTGAGAGTCGAGTGTGTGTGTGTGTGTGTGTGTGTGTGTATGAGTCGAGTGTGTGTGTGTGTGTGTGAGTGAGTAAGTGTGTGTGACTGATTGTGTGTGTGTGTGTGTGTGTTACAGACCTTTGACATTGCGTTCGAGATTCCTCCAGTTGGCCAATCAGCAGAGAGACTCAGCACAGATCCTCCCGAGCGGAGAGAGAGTCAGCGATGATTCAGGG